TATTGCCAAACTCAGTTTTTTTTCTTTTCTAACATTTTCTTTGATCCTTTCCACCTTCTGAATGGTGTTAAAAAAAAAATCGGAATAGGAAAAAGGGGTGATCAAGAGAAGGAATGTTTATGAATTGAGTGATTAACACCAGGAGGAAAAATGGATTTCAGTTTAGTTCAGCATGGGAGCGATTTTCTCCTAGAATCACTTAGTAGACACTGATAGGCCCAGGTGAGAGGTCAAATTGATTTTATGTTCACCATTTTCTGACATCCAGGACAGATTGTTCAGCTCATACCTGTGTGGAAAGTTAATTTATATCTGCCTTTTTTTTTTTTTTAAATGACTTTGACTGGGCTGATTGCAAGTTAAGTGACTGTTATTACAAAAGTCAGAGACAAGGTGTCTATGGTTCAGGTATGCAAATTGAAGGGTGGCTGAGTTAAGCTCTAATCCTAATGGAGTTCTAACACCTTACTGACCTCAGAAAGCTTAAGACACAGAAAATCTCCATCAGTTTGGACGCAAGGGTGGGGTTACGTAAGAGGAGCCCCACAAAGAGGACGTACCAGGGTGATCAGAGAGGGTTAATGCCTAGCCTGTTAACCTCCTGATAAATATTCAGAAATATCAAGGCACGGCAGGTGAGAGGCAGGTATTACCAGCTGGGTATTCGCAGAATCCCCGCCTTCAAATCTCCTTATGTCCTGAGGCTTTTACGGGGTGAGCCATCAGGAACCATAGCCATATACAGTCCCTTCTTCACACCCTGACCTTTCTCTTGTTGCCAACATACTTTTAGAAACCCTCATTACCCTTCACATCCCTTGCTAGCCTTAACTCCTGTTGCACTTTCACCTTCCTGATTCATCCCTGCATGCCCAAGCAATAATGTTATACTCTTTCCAAGTTGTTTGTCCAAGCTACTGCTTCTTGTAAGCTTCCTTTTTGTGTTTAAGCTCACCAAAGAGTTCTCTGCTAAGCCTAGCTGGGTGCTTGCCACATTTGCTATTCCTCCTGTACATCACCTAGATGGTCTCTACAACACTTGCACCAGGAAGTAGCTTCCAATGTTTTACAAACACTTCGTGGATTGCCTGTGTGCTATTGTATTGCCTTCCCAGCAGATGTCACGGTGACTGAAATCCCCCCAGGGCCTGTGATCTGGAAACTTCCTCTAGCTGTCTGAAGAAAGCCTCATCTGGTGGTCTATACCAAACACCCATCATGACATCCTCCTTGTTGCTGTTCTCTCCAACCTTAACCCAGAGACTTTCCACAGGTCTCTCTCTAGTTTCATGCTGGAGCTCTGAGCAATCATACAGGTCTCTTACATACAGTGCAACGCCTCCTCTTCTTGTTCTTTCTGAACAGTTTATAACTATCTAGGACAGTGCTCCAGTCATGTGAGCTATCCTACTAAGTTTATGCAATTTCACTAGCGTCATTAGTTCCTCGACTGTGCGAGGACTTCCAACTCTTCCTGTTAGTTTCCCAGGCTCCATGCATTTGTGTACAGACACCCAAGATGACTAGCTAATTGCCCTACTTTCTCAGGAAGAACTAAGAATTTCTCCTCCCCTTCTGCCCCTTCCTGCTTGTGCTTTATCCAGGTCCCCCACTTACCTCAGGGCTTTGTTATCCACCCCTGGTGAACCTAAGTTAAAGCCCTCTTCACTAGGTTAGTGAGCCTGTCTATAAAGATGCTTTTCTCTCTCTCTCTCTCTCCACCAGGTGAATCCCATCACTTCCTAGCAATCTTTCTTCATAGATTTCTAGAGTCAGAAGGGACCTGGTAGATCATCAGGTCCAACCCCCTGCACCAGGCAGGAAAGAGCGCTGGGGTTAAGTAACCCCAGCCAGATGCCCATCTAATCTCCTCTTGAACACCTCCAGGGTAGGGGAAAAGCACCACCTCCTTTGAAAGCCCATTCCATATTTTGGCAACCCTTACCATAAATAATTTCTTCTTTATATCCAATCTAAATATATTCTCCTTCAGTTTGTGGCCATTATTTCTGGTAACCGCAAGAGGTGCCCTGGTAAACAGAATGTCCCCTATTCCCTGCTGGCCCACCCTGATGAGTTTGTAGGCAGCCACAAGATCACCTCTCAGCCTTCTCTTGCGGAGGCTGAAGAGATTCAGATCTCTCAGTCTGTCTTCATACAGTCTAACCTGCAGCCCCGCAGCCATATGAGTAGCCCTTCTCTGAACCCTCTCAAGGTTATCCACAACCCTCCTGAAGTATGGTATCCAAAACTAGATGCAATACTCCATCTGCAGCCTCACCAGTGATGCATAGAGGGGAATTATCACTTCCCCAGACCTGCTTGTGATGCACCTGCTGATACAAGAAAGAGTGCAGTTATCCTTGCTTATTCCCTTGTCACACTGGTGACTCATGTTCAGTCTTGTGTCAATCAGGACTCTGAGAGATCTTTCCACTGCTGTGGTGCTCAGAATGGTACCCCCAAGTCTATGTGTGTGTTGGAGATTCTCTCCCCAGATGCAGCACCTTGCATTTATCCTTGTTGAATTGCATCCTATTCTGATCTTCCCACTTTCCCAGTCTGTTCAGAACCACCTGAATTCTATCCCTGCCCTCCAGTGTGTTTACTATGCTCCATAGTTTAGTGTCATCTGTGAATTTGGACAAGGCGTTTTCAACACCTTCATCCAAATCACTGATGAAGAAAATAAACAATACTGGTCCAAGGACAGAGCCTTGGGGGACACCACTGCCCATATCCCTCCAGGAATAAATTGACCCATCCACCACTACTCTTTGGGTATGTCCCATAAGCCAGTTTCTCACCCACCTTACTGTGAAAAAAAAAATCCACATCACAGCTACTCTGTTTATGCATAAGAATTGGGTGCAACACTGGCAAAAGCCTTTTTAAAATCCAGGTAAATAATATCTATTTCCTCCCCTACATCTAAGCACTTTGTGACCTGGTCATAAAGAGAGACCAGGTTAGTCAGGCAGGATCTACCTGCTATAAACCCATGCTGGTTGCCCCTCACCATTGTGATACCCACTAGCCCCCTGCAAAAGGGATCCTTAATGATTTTTTCCTAAGGTCTTGCTAAGAATAGAGGTGAGGCGGACTAGCCTATAATTTTCCACGTCCTCCTTCCTCCACTTCTTGAATATAGGGACCATGTTGGCCCATTTCCAGTCCTCTGGGACCTATCCCAACTGCCACGAGTACTCAAACAGCTGTGCTAGTTGTTCTGCTATGTCATCGGCCAATTCCTTTAGTACCCTTGGGTGAAGATCATTGGGGCCTGCTGACTTAAATACATCCAACCCTTCCAAGTGCCACTTCACTAGGTCAGTGCTAACCATTGGTGGATTGGTACTACTCTCATTCCAGACTAAAGACTCATTGGGAGGTGCATTTGTATCGGTGTCCAGGAAAACAGAGGCAAAGAAATTATTTAAGAGCTCCGCTTTTTCCACCCTATCAGTTATGAGTTGCCCTAATCCATTCTGTAGCGGCCCTATGTTACCCTGCACCTTCTTCCTGCTCCCTATGTACTTAAAGAAGGACTTCTTGTTATCCTTAATCTTGGTTGCCAGTTGAGTTCTGTATCTCCTTTGGCCTTTCTTACTGCTTCCCTGCAAGTGCAAGCCAAATAGGTATACTCCTCCTTGGTGGCTGTCCCCTGCTTCCATAGCCTGTAGGACTCTTTTCCTCTGAAGGTTCCCCTGGATTTCCCTGCTCAGCCAAGAAGGTTGTTTGTCTCTTTTGTCACCCTTTGTGTATACTGCGATGGTGTCCCTCGGTGCCTGTAGGATCAGTCCCTTGAGGAACTCCCACTCTTCTTGGAGCCCCATCTCACAGATGTGATTACCCCTCACACCCACCCTAACCAATCTCCTGAGCTCATTGAAGTTGGCCTTCCAGAAGTCTAGCACTAATGGAACAACATCCCAAGGAATAACATCCCATGGTCAGAGAAGCCTGCTGGCAGCACCACCTGCACAGCCATGCATTGGTCTGCAGGATGTGTCACTCCTGCCACGTCCCTTCCTCTTGACTGAAAGGAAGTAAGAGAACATGATCTGTACCCCCATCCCCTTCACCTTTCCATCCAGAGCCCTGTAGTCACTCATGATCTGCCCAAGGTCACCTTTGGCAGTATCACTGCTCATCACATGGATGCGCAGCATAGGGTAATAGTCAGAGGGTCAGACGAGTCTCGCCAATCCTGTTGTATCTTTCATCCAGGCTCCAGGCAAGCAGCAAGTCTCCTGAGATGACAGGTCAGGTCAGCAGATGAATCCCTCGAAGATGGAAGTCTCCAAGCACCATCACCTATTGCTTCCTGAGAGTCCATGTCCTCTTCCTTCCTCCACAGTCCTAGAGGTTTCCTCCAGTATGGAATGTATGATGTCCTCATGGCAGAGGATATTTTAGAGCCTCTCTGCCTCATCCTGTAGCTCTCTTCTACCCAAGGGACACCACCAGAAGGCACTGCTCACACTTCAGGCACTCCCTACCTGGCTGACGCTGAAAGGAATCTGCAAGTTGCAGCCTGTACAGCACCAAGCCAGGACCTGGGTGGAAGCCTCAACCATGTGTGGTGCTGCCAGGACAGACACCCCACAGGTGAAAGCAGAGGAAGAGCTGAAAGGGCTAGTGGCTCTGAGATTGCAACTTCCTCCAGCCATGTCTCTGGGTCTTCTAACCTGGTGTCTCTCAATTCTTGCCTCTTTCCAAACAGACCTCCCATAGCAGACTTCTCTGTAGCTGGACTGTTTGCTGTTCCTTGATCTGAAGGTCTCCCTTTTCCTTACACCCTTTTTCCTCTCAGCAAGCTTACAGTGAAGGAATGTGAGAGTTTCAAAGCAAACTCTGTAGACGACTCCCTCTCACTCTGGCCTCTAGTTAAACAAAAGACTTAGGTCTTGGTCTAGCTCGTGAGTTTTGGCTGATAAAATAAGATAAAACAGAACTATTCATGTTATTCAGCCCTAATTACATATAAATAATCTTACCTTCAGGCTCTCCTTCAAAGAGAGGGGCAGCAAACTGACCTGCAAACTGCTTGCAAAGTGTCCCGTGTGCTGCTCCCCTGGTCACTCAGATTGCTTTCCTGGGTCTGGACTGGCTCAGCCCCTTTGTTACACCCAGACAGCAATCAATCAGTAATCTATCCATCCAGCTGCTCACAGCACACACCCAAACACAAACCCATCAAACATCCCACAGCAAGCTAAGCACCCAGGCAGCCCTGGCTCATTTACCTTCCCAGACCAGGATCTAGTGCTTGGTTCTTCTTCCTCTTGCTCCCAGAAAATTGCTTGCTTCTCCCTTATGGCTTTGACTGACTCCTTATATACCTCTCCTGGGCCTGGCTTGGCTAGGCCCCTTTGTCACACCCAGACAGCAATCAATCAGCAATCATTCCATTCAGCTGCTCAGAGCACACACCCAAGCATACAAACCCACCAAACAGCCCTTAGCAAGCCAAAAATACAGGCAACCAACGAATAGGACCAACCACAAGGGTCAGAAAATGAGGACATACTAAATACATGGACCAATAGTAAGAAATAATTTCTTGCATCCTAACAGTTGTTGTCTCTGCCATGTTATGAAGCAAGAGTAAAGAGGCCAGTTATTTGAATTAGGATATATGCCTCTGCCAACAACTCTGGCAATCATACCTCTCTTTATTCTGAAATGTTACGTCATAGATTCCCTGAAAAAAATGGCAATATACCTATTTTTTGTAACATGCTAATACCTTAGCCTTGAGACTAAGACACAAAGAAGTCATAAGTAGGAGAAGAACAAATCTACCTTTTTAGTGGGCTTTTTTTTTCTATCGTTCAGGGACATGAACAGGGTGGACGGGGATCAGACTTTGGCACCTAATAGGCAGAATACAAGTTAGTCTTATGTCTCATATTAAGAATTTTAGAATCACTGTCCCATGGAACCTGCTTCTGTTATCAGCATTTTTTTAAGTGACCTTTTATATAGGCAATTTGTGCAAAAGCAAATAGCTAGACCTCCCATATAAATCATTCCAAAATGTACAGCTCAGAGCGTTTATCACAAGTTGAGGTACTACATTAGCTGTTGCAATAGCAAGGTCATTATGTGTACTGCAACTTATTGTATCAAGGTACATGATCTTTTTTGAGATATATACTCAGAATTAAGTTTATGAAATTCCGTATAGTAATTCCATGGTTAGGTAAAAATGATTCAATGCAGTTAATGTCAACTCTGTAAAACTGTAGTTAAAAAGGTCATTTGGAGACATTCATTAATTGTTTGCTTTAGCACACAGTCATTATTATTGGCAGAAGGAATTGGCAAAAGGCACTGTTACTGTCAGAAGGCATTAAAAGTGTGTCATTTGTCAATGTGTGCTTTCCAAAAGAGCAGCAGGCTGAAAGAGTGCCCTGTCTTTAAAGTTAAGAAGAAAGAAATAAAATTCTCTCTCTCTCTCATGTGTTTTCATATAGTCCCAATTGTGATAACTCTGTCTGAGCAAGCACGCTTGTTAACTCTGAAGAAATATGATCACAGAAAACATAGCAAATTAAGCTTAAAATATAGAAAAAAAATCACTGGGTAAGAGTGTTATTTGTAGAATAATGATTACTTTACGTTCCCACTGCAGTAACACTTATGGTTCTCAACAGGTTTGGGCTCCATTGTGCTAGGTACTGTACAGACATAATCAATGACAGCTCATGCCCAAGACCTACTTTAAACAATAAGACTATCCCAGTGAATTTGATTAATGAAGTTACCAGTTTAGTCCTGCTCTTGTTCCGGAGGGAAATCTATTAAAGTTTTGACAGTACCATTAGAGGGCCAATGTAGCAGAATTGGGACTTTCAGCATAGTAACAAGTGTAATTTTAGTTCTCTGGATGGCCTCTTCCCCTGCTACAGCTGCTTTGTGCAGTCTAGCTGCATAAAATCCTCCCTGGTTCAGAATCAGGCCCAGATTGATTAGAAGAGAAAGTCTGACTCCTTATTTATAAGTCAGAGAGAGATTCAGGATTGCTGGAATTAAAGACCAAATCTCATATTTAAAAATCAGTTTATAAAATATTTTTAAAAGATAGTTGTTAATGAACCAAACAAAATTATAGGAAAGTTAATAAAAGATGGATTTTATATGGGTTTTGTGCCTAGCAGACTGGCAGTAGACCATTTAGAAGTATAACTACACATATTTTGTGAAACTTAAGGTGTCCTAGAGTGAATTACAACCCTATCATCAGAAGCTGAGAAAAACTTTACTGGGTCTTACAAAAAGTTAATCTTTCATATCATCAAACAAATCATTTGAAGAAAAATGAAGAAAGTGCCCAGAGTGATCCATTCCAATTCCATAGTACATATTGTATATTACCCAGTCTTCATCTCTGCTAATACACCAAGCAGGGCATCCCTCCCTCATAAGCTTTGTTTTCCCTGGTTTGACACCTTTTCCCAGAACCAATTGAGCAAAGCAAGAAAGGATGAGGACAAGAGTGGGCCAGGCAAAGATAGGGATAAGAGGAATATGATTTGCTTATTCCAGCAGAGCTTATGTCCCTACATACTTCAAAGTGGATTTCAGTTAAAGGATGGTCCCACGAAAAACTTCTGCAAGAGTCCAGCTAATGTGATTACAATTGATTTACACTTCCAGAAAGTGCATAGAGAGGGGTTGACAGTGAGCAACAACTACTACCGCTAATGACCTTCCAAGCAAACCCTGATTTTTTCCAGTGGAGCTACTGGAAAGACATTTTCACAAAGAAAATTGTTGGAGACTTCCCTTTCCTTTAATGTTTGTTGCCCTGTAGCATCAGCCCAACTCTCAGGATCTCAATATTAGATCAGCTGTTAGACAGGAGGATGTGACAATTGCACATATACAAACACACAAATCAATTATGTGTATACACCCCCCCCCCCCCCCCCCCAAACCAGCCTAGGCACATGCATACCTATCACCAATTCAAGCACATACAAACTACATAGTAAAAATTAGACAAAAATCAATTGTCAATACTCGCACACTCAGTACACATATACAGATCACTAATTCGTATATCATGAACACACACACACACACACATATATATATATACACATACATACATACACACACACACACACACACACACACTCACCAGTTCTCACACACACAACCCACCTACACATACACACAGGTAAGTTCCTGACTTGGATGGCATGGTATGTATGTGTGCGCATGCTTGGGGTACCTAGGGAAGGTTAAGGTGGGAGAGAGAGTTAAAGTTGCCATAACCGGGATTAGAACCAGTGGACTACAGAGAAGCTGACTGAGGAACTGAGGCTTGGGTTTACTTAAGATCAAGTGGCCCCAGGGTTACCTGAGGTCACTGGTGCATAGGAGGGGAAAAGAAAAAAAAAAAAGAAGCCTGGTGGCAAGGAGGAGGCAGTCAGGAAAGAGAGAGAGAGACAGAAACCTGGGAGCTTGAGGCGGGTAACTGAGGCAGACAGCTGAGATATTGGGGGGGGCAGATAAGTGGTGGCAAGGAGGAGACAGCCAGGAAAGAAACTGAGGCAGAAACCTGGTTGCTCAGGGGAAACGGCAGTGGGGATAAGACAGTGGCAAAAAAAACTGGGTTTGGAGGCAGAGAGTAGTTCAGGACAGGTGTTGGAGGTGGCAGTGAGCCAGAAGCAGGAGGTGGAGAAATGAGACAGAAGCTAGAGGGGTGAGGAGCAGAGATTGGCGCAGGGCTGAACCATTAGTAAAGCAAAACCCAACTCAGGGGTCCAAATAACAGGTTTATTAAATAGACAACATGCCACACAGACCCATGAAGTTACTGGTTCTCTCTCTCACACACACACACACACACACACTCACAATGGCAGCAGGAGAAAGACACTCAGTGGAATGGCTGGAGTCCAGGTAGGGAAGAGAAGCAGAGTCCAAGTCCTTGGTTGAAGAGAGGGTGGGGGTGATAGCTACCTATCCAGGCTGGAAAGGGGTATTGTCCAGAGTGGGGTCGCCAGCAGGGCCTCTGGGTGGATAGGTGGTGTGGCATGGAGCTGGTCCAGATGGAGAGGGCATCTCAAGGAGTCAGTCTTCACTACCACTTTTATGGGGCAGACGACCTCTGATCTCCTATGGGGAGGGCCTGTCCAGGCAAGGTCAGTCCTGTCCCAGAGGGCTCCAGGTGTTCTTACTGAGCATGTGCAGCCTTGGCACAATGGTGGGTTGCCTCATCTTTTGTTTCTTGACTGCTGAGGGTGGTTCCAAGGGCTGGGTCGTTGGTCCAGGTATTGGTGTTGATGGTTCGGTCATTCAGAGGGAGCGATTTTAGACCTACTGCCATTGTCTCTCAAGCACCCTCATTCATCCCCATTCATTCAGGAACCAAGTTACATAGGAGGGGTAGGTCTGAGTCATGGGTTACACAACCGGGCCTGGGGACAAGATGGAGACTTGAAAAACAAAATGGAAACTTGACATGACTGATGCTAACTTACATATGTAGGCCTAAATCATATAGTACCAGTAAAACAGTAATATAGAATAGTAAAAAATCAATATAAACATAATAATTATACAATATAAAGAAGGAGAAAAAAAACCAAAACAAATACAACTTGCTACCAAAATAAAAAGCTGAAGCTTATCCTATGTCTTAGCTCACTTATCTATAGGGAATAGAGAGGGATAGACAAAGTCAGAAATGGTTGGGGAAGGGGAGGGAATACATTTTAAAATAAATTTAAAAAGAAAAACTGGGGGTTTTTCGACACCTTCTCCAATGGATTTTTCCGCAGGAAGTGAAGAGTTATGTCTAAACTCATAAAATGCAACTGAATGGCAATACTCTACCCAGGGTTTGAATATAATATCACATACCTTTGTGTAACTCATATCAGTGTTGTATACCAAAACAAGTTTTGCCAGAATCAGAAATGGTGCCAGAATCAGTGTGGAAGCAGGTGATGGCCTATTTGACTTCACCAAATTGACAGCACCTGAGGTGTATTTGAGTAGATGCCAAACTGCTATACACAGGAGTAAAAGATTATCAAATTGGCCAATTTTACCATGGTTTAGAGCTTCACGTCACCTGTATACTCACTTTATTTACCATAATAATGTCAGTTACTCCTCTGTAAGTATGCCATCTATCTTGGCCCTCAGTGATAACATCTCATGGTGTTAATTTTTTTCCCCCTCTCCCCAGAATGCCAGAGCTACTAGAGTGTCATGATTACAAGAAATTCTCAGCTTAATTTTTTTTAAAGATTCTAGTCTAACAGTTGTACAGAAAAGCTTGAAG